ACACATACACACACTCTCTCTCTCTCTCTCTCTCTCTCTCTCTCTCTCTCTCTGTATACATATATACAGATATATATAGATGCTTAGTAAGTCTTATAACCTTATTTTCTTCTTTTTTTTTGAGTCGGAATCTCACTCCACCTCCTCTCTCTCTCTCTCTCTCTCTCTCTCTCTCTCTCTCTGTATACATATATACAGATATATATAGATGCTTAGTAAGTCTTATAACCTTATTTTCTTCTTTTTTTTTTGAGTCGGAATCTCACTCCACCTCCTCTCCCTCTCTCTCTCTCTCTCTCTCTCTCTCTCTCTCTCTCTCTCTCTGTATTTTTATATATATAAAATCTTGTTGACCTGGTGGCTCACACCTGTAATTTCAGCACTTTGGGAGACTGAGGCCAGAGGATTGCCTGAGCCTAGGAGTTCAAGACCAGACTATACAACTTGGTGAGACCTTGTCTCTACAATAAATCAAAAAATTAGCCAGGTGTGGGGGCGCATGCCTGTGGTTCCAGCTATTTGGAAGGCTGAGGCGAAAGGATCGCCTGAGCCCAGCAGGTGAAGGCTGCCGTGGCCATGAGTGTGCCACTGCACTCCAGCCTGGGTGACAGTCACTTACTGGTTATGTCATCTTTGCCAAATCATTTAAATCCTCTGAAATTCAACATCATCAAATACAAAATAGAGATAATAATTACCTCCCAAAGTTATTGTGAGGGTTAAGTGAAATACATGACAATTCTAAGCACAAAGTCTAGCATTCAGTAGGTGCTCAAATATATCAAGTTTCATATTTTACAGACAGGCTATACAAAACATCTCATATTATTTAAAAACCTAACAATTTAAATAATACATGCCCTGTGCACAAAGCTCCTTTATTTCCCCTTATTATCATCATTATTGCTATTATTATTATTTGAAAAGGGTCTTGCTCTGTCCTCCAGGCTGGACTGCAGTGGCATAATCATGACTCACTGTAAACTCCAACTCCTGAGCTCAAGAGATCCTCTGGCCTCAGTCTCCCAAGTAGTTGGAAGCATAGGCAAGTGCCACCATGTTCACTATTTTTTTTTTTTTTTGGTAGAGATGAGGTCTCACTATGTTACCCAGGCTGATCTCGAACTCTTGGCCTCAAGCTATCCTATTACCTTGGCCTCCCAAAGCACTAGGATTACAAGTGTGAGAAACCGTGTCTGGCCCTTTAATTTTCTTCTTAACTGCACAGTTTATAGTGCCCTCTTGATCTTGATCTATAGAAACCAGGAAGAAGAATCCCAAGGGCCACATTAGCGCTGTCCAGTCAGAAGGTGCTGAAGGGCTCTGGTAACCCAGGAATAGATTACTTCCATTCCACCTTCTTGCCTCTCCTACAGACCTAAGAGGCAGTCACAAGTATACCTTGTCTAGAAAATGGCACCCATCTTCTCTCCTTCTCCCCTTGTCCAAAAGAGTTTGAGACTTCATTCCAAGGAAGAAAATGCCATACTTAAAACTCCTTTCTCTCTAATAATGGATTTTATTCAACAAGTATCTACTGAGTACGTCATATGTGCCAGGCACTGTTCTAGGTCCTTAAGAAATATCAGTCTAGCCAGGCTCAGTGGCTCAGCCTGTAATCCCGCGCTTTGGGAGGCTGAGGTAAGTGGATTGCCTGAGCCTGCGGGTTCGAGACCCGCCTGGGCAACTTGGCGACACCTCATCTCCACAATAAATCAAAAAATCATCCAGGCATGGTAGCGCATGCCTGTAATTCCGGCTACTTGGAAGGCTGAGGCGGAAGGATCGCCGGAGCCCAGCAGGTCGAGGCTGCGGTGGCCGGGAGCGGCCACTGCACTCCAGTCTGGGTGACAGAGTGAGACTCCAACTCAAAAAAAAAAAAAAAGAAAAGAAAAAAATATCAGCGTATCCACACACACACAAAAAGACCTCTGCCTTCCTGAAGCTTCTAGTCAATTTTTTTCTTGAACAGTGTTGTATAGTATAAACTTTGGACTCAGAAAACTCTGGGTTCTGAGCTCCCAAACATACCATGTACTTTGTAGTTGTGACATTAGCAAGACACACTCCGATTCCAGTATCCTCATTTGGAAATTCAAATGACCCGCCCTGTATGGTTGTTGTAAAAATTAATGATCTGTTACACATTTCATCAAGTCTGTAAAGCACTGCCTCCCACCCCAAATTTTAACATTTCTGACAAAGAGATCTCTTTTACAATCAGTGGTATCTTGCAGTCACAAGGTGGCAGTGAGAACATAGGGTCACTGCCCACTCATGTACAACCCCACTTCAACAGAGTCATTTGCACTGTTGACACACAAGTCTACCTGCCATTTTAAATGTCTTTTAAAAGATTACACTACAATTTGTTATAAAAACTGAAAGGATTTGAAACGGTAGCAGGGCATAACATTTTTAGAGAAGCTAATATCCACCTCTGGAAAAACGATCTTAGCAACCAAGGCCATAGGACCTGAGTATAAAAGACATCCCAGCCCCCATGGATGAAGTTACATGATGTATTGTTACTATTACGATTCATGGAAAAGAATGTGCTGCCACAGGTTGAATAAGAGAACATCAGGATCAAAACTTACAGAATAGGTATCAGACGCTCAGAGGAGATTCCTGGAGACACTGGTAAGCCCCCTCTTAAGACATGCCACATCACCAACACTCTTGATGCTCAGAATATGATATTATGTGGCAAAACACCAACATCAAGAACGCTGAGTCAAAAGAGATTCTGAAGAATCAGACTCTTAAAGTGAGGAAATTTTAGGAATGCGTTAATCCATTTATTTCCTTTATATTTTCCCTTCTATGTACGTACAAGAGTATATGATAGAAATCAATGCCTAAATAAATCTAAAAGTGCTTTCAATAAGTGTATGATAAAAATTCTAAGTGACCAAAAGCTCTTGTGTCAGTTGAGTTGGTAAGGTTCTTTTCTTTCTTACTGATACAGAAAATAATTGTGGGGCGGCAGCGGCGGCGGCGGCAGCTGGGGCTGGAGCCCGGAAGCGGCGCCGGAGACGGGCCTGGGCGGGTGGCGCGGATGGATCCAACATGGCGGCACCGTGCCTGAGCTGAGAGAAGAGAACTGGAAAATTCAGTTTCTTGCAGAGTACGGTGGGGATTGCAGCTGTTGAGCAGAGATTCTGGAAAGTATTGCGCACCTGAGCTCCCAGCATGGCGGGCCTCAAGCGGCCGGCAAGCCAGGTGTGGCCAGAAGAGCATGGCGAGCAGGAGCACGGGCTGTATGGCCTGCACCGCATGTTTGTTATTGTGGGCACCCATCTGACACACAGAGATGTGCGTGTGCTTTCTTTCCTCTTTGTTGATGTCATTGATGACCACGAGCGTGGACTCATCCGGAATGGACGTGACTTCTTACTGGCGCTGGAGCGTCAGGGCCGCTGTGATGAGAGTAACTTTCGCCAGGTGCTGCAGGTGCTGCGCATCATCACTCGCCATGACCTGCTGCCCTATGTCACCCTCAAGCGGAGACGGGCTGGTGAGGGTGCACTGGGGGCTGGGATCAGGGAGGAGTTGTGGGAGGTCAGACATGAGCAGCAGAGGAGTGCATGGGGGAGAGACATTGACCCTCAGGAGTACTTACGGGAGTCAGTTATGAGGCGCTTGAGGCTTGGACTGGGAGAAGGGGGGTGTGTCTTTTCCTGAATGACTCCTTCTCCCCTGCAGTGTGCCCTGATCTTGTAGACAAGTATCTGGAGGAGACATCGATTCGCTATGTGACCCCCAGAGCTCTCAGTGATCCAGAACCGAGGCCTCCCCAGCCCCCTAAAACAGGTGAGAAGATATTAACTCCCTCTGATTTCCATAATCAAGTAAGAGGACACTGATCCCATCACATTCTAGGCTTTGCCAGCTTAAATGAAAGAATGCTGTCCCCTCAATCTGGCCCCATCAGAAATCCCAGATGAGGTGTTGATGCTTTACCTAGGTCCTGTGTTGCTCTCACATTGTGTCCTCCCTTCAGATCACATCATTGTTGATACTGCTTTTAGTGCTAAGTCTTTTTTTTTTTTTTTTTTTTTTTTTTGAGTTGGAGTCTCACTCTGTCACCCAGGCTGGAGTGCAACAACACGATCATGGCCACTGCACCCTCAACCTGCTGGGCTCCAGTGATCCTTCCGCCTCAGCCTTCCAAGTAGCTGGAACTACAGCCTGGCTAATTTTTTTATTTGTTGTAGAGACAAGGTTTCACCAAGTTGCCCAGGCTGGTCTCAAACCCCTGGGCTCAGGCAATCTTCTTGCCTCCTCCTCCCAAAGTGCTAGGGTTACAGATGTGAGCCACTGCGCCTAGCTGTGTAAAGTCGCAATGACTCCTTCCTTGTTTCAAGAGAAGTGTTTGAATTTCTGCATTACCCTGCTGTGTTTTCTTTCTTCTGCCTTCTGGTCAGTGCCTCCCCACTATCCTGTGGTGTGCTGCCCCACTTCGGGTCCTCAGATGTGTAGCAAGCGGCCAGCCCGAGGGAGAGCCACACTTGGGAGCCAGCGAAAACGCCGGAAGTCAGTGACACCAGATCCCAAGGAAAAGCAGACATGTGGTGAGGAAGTTCAAGGATTCCAGAGGTGGAGCAGACTTGAGGGAAAATATGAAGAACTGTTGGGATATGGGGTAGTTTTCTGTTTCAGCGTGAGGTCAGTGAGGGTCAGTGATTGCTGTTGCAAAGTGAGAATGACTGGTTTAGTCCCTGGCAGGAGAACTCTTCTTGGCAGAGTACATTTCTTAGTTACTACTTGATCATAGGGATGCCATTATGACATCCTTGTTGTAAAATGCACTTCTGTGCCTGTTAATTAGGAAAATATCTCCGATAAGGAGGTAGCTGCCTAAGGATGGCAACAGTGCTGACCAGGGCATATCCCATTCAAGGGAACCTTCTGCATTCAGGCAAGGGTTTCAGAGATACCCAGAAAAGAACTAGTCCTGGGTAGAGGTAGAGAAACTGTTGGGTGATGTTTCCTACTTTCCTATTGTGCTTTTCAGCTTTTCAACCCTAGGTTGTCAACTGCCCCTCATTGTAACCTCTTCTTTTGCCTATAGACATCAGGCTGCGGGTTCGGGCTGAATACTGCCAGCACGAGACTGCTCTGCAGGGCAACGTCTTCTCTAACAAGCAGGACCCACTTGAGCGCCAGTTTGAGCGCTTTAACCAGGCCAACACCATCCTCAAGTCCCGGGACCTGGGCTCCATCATCTGTGACATCAAGTTCTCTGAGCTGACCTACCTCGATGCATTCTGGCGTGACTACATCAATGGCTCATTACTAGAGGCACTTAAAGGTGTCTTCATCACAGACTCCCTTAAGCAAGCTGTGGGCCATGAAGCCATCAAGCTGCTGGTGAATGTGGACGAGGAGGACTATGAGCTAGGCCGACAGAAACTCCTGAGGAACTTGATGCTGCAAGCATTGCCCTGACCTTTCCCCTTCTCGCTTCTCTGGGGACTGTTCCCACCACCCACCTCTGGAGCTTACATACTGTTCTGGGGTTTGTTCTCTACCCTTCCAACCAATCACACCCCTGCCTTTTTTTTTTTTTTTTTAAAGGAAAAGACAAAGGAAATTGGAAGTGGTGTTCCCGCCCTCCCTGCACCCATGTGCCTGGGCTTCCCCTTGTTTCCCTTTTCCACTTACCCTGATGTGTCTCTACAGCCACCTTACCACGGAGCCATAGACAAACGTAGAGAGAGAAGCAAAGTCTGTGGAACATAGTCTTTGTAAGGGATTGAACACTGCTTTTGGGTGCACTGAGGGACTATCGATACTTCTGGCTTTATGAGGGCTCTTAAATATTGTCTGAAAAACCAAAGGGCTGTGAGTAAGGGAGCTATGTGGAAGGTGGGACTCTGAAGTGTATTTTGGAAATTAATCACTCACCCTCTTCCAAATTACAGAATTTATAAAAAACAAAGGAGCTGTGGCCCTTTCCACTCTCTCCCGGCCTCTGGTGCTGCTCCTCTCTGCCTTCTGTCCTCCATTCCATGGCTTGAAACTTCTGCCTGATGTGGTTCCTCCTTTTCCATTGTCAAGCCCTCTTCAAGGGAATAATAGATAAGAGGACTGGTCGGCCTGATCACCCCGCCCGACTATGGCGCGCACGCGTGTTTGTGTGTATGTGTTTGTGTGTGTGTATGTGTGTGTGTGTGTGTGTGTGTGTGTGTGTGTGTATGTATACACACACACAGGGTGGATGGAGAAGAGGTGCTGATTGAAACACACTCCCCCTGTAAAGGGGAAGGGGGAGTGTGACACTTTCCTTCCATGTTCAAGTTAAAATAAATAATGTACCCTGCAGCCCTTTTCCCCTTTGCTTTCTTCTGACTTGGGCAAAGGGCATCATAGGTGAAAGTGAAGTAATTCCCTGTCAAATCCCTTTTCCTTCCTCCTCCTCTATCCCTACTCCTATTCCCATGCTTGGGAGAATGCAGCTGGGTCATGCACTGAGTGTTGCACTTTCATTAGGCAGGGAGACATGGTGAATGAGCCAGAAGGCCTGGAACTGGAGTCTAGTCCAGCTGGTACGATACCACCTCCCCTTTCAGCTCCCAAAGGAGATACCCAGACACAGACTTTATGATTATTATTTTTTTAATGCCAGTGCTGCTTAGCCCTCAGAATAACTTCAGTTTTCATGAAATAAACAATGACTATATAAGATTCCACCTTCCTGAAACTGAAATCTGAGCTCAGGTGAAAGTTTCTTTTTTCACAAGAAGCTGAACCTGTGTTCCATCAAGAGTCGAGGTTTGAGGTTCTCCAAGTGAGGGGAGCTGTGCCTGGGTCCAGCCTACAAGTCACAGCAGCACCAGCTCACAACAGAGGTCTCAACTCACAGAAGTCAAGTCTTAAGACCGTGGGTGGCCTAGACTATCATAGAGGTCAGGCCTGCGGTGCTGGAACACAGGCAGGTATTGGCGCAACTGTTGCAGATAGCTGAGGTCGATTCGGGCAAGGCAGACGCCTGGCCCCTCAGAACAGCGGGCCACCACTGTTCCCCAGGGATCCACCACCATGCTGTGGCCATAACTTGCTCTCTTCTCGTGATGGCGTCCACACTGAGCTGCTGCCACTACATAGCACTGGGTTTCAATGGCACGGGCCCGCAGCAACACCTGGGGATGAGATGTATGTTCACTTAAGGACATGCAGCAGCAGGTAGACATTACAGGCCAATCTACTCATTGTGACTGTTTTGATAATTGCCTAGGAATGATTTACTATGTTAACTAGTCTGTAACATATGGGAGACAATTAACTTTCAACTGGTAGGGCCAAGGGAGGAGAATGAGGTTAAGAAAAGGCCCTTATGTTTTCAAGAGGTATTCTCTTACCTCCCAGTGGGCTGGGCCTGTAACAGAGCCAAACGCTGAAGGATAGGTAAGGATTTCTGCTCCAGCTTTAACCAATGCCAGAGAGAGTTCAGGGAACCGCATGTCATAGCAGATGGCTAGACCAACCTGGAAGGAAAAACAGCCTGCTTAGCTTCCCTGTACTGTTTGTCACAGCATCTAGTTAGTCATGCCTCCATTGCCCGACTCCTTTAGGACTTTTTATCCTTTTTTTTTGAGTTGGAGTCTCTTGTTGCCCAGGCTGGAGTGCAGTAGAACACTCATGGCCACCGCAGCCTTGACCTGCTGGGCTTAGGTGATACTTCCGCCTGAGCCTTCCAAGTAGCTGGAACTACAGATGCATGCCACCACGCCCAGCTACTTTTGTGTGTGTGATTTATTGTAGAGACGAGGTCTCACCAAGTTGCCCAGGCTGGTCTCGAACCCCGGCTCAGGCAATCCTCTTGCCTTGGCCTTCCAAAGTGCTGGGATTACAGGCTGAGCCACTACGCCTGGCCCTTTTTATCCTTTTTACTGCTTCAGTTCCTATTCCCCACCCTCATGCTCTCACAACTCCCACCTTGCCTGCTGGTGTGCTGACAGGTGCCTCAAGACTGGGCCCAGGTATGGTAGAGTTGCTTTCACACATAGGTCCCTGCCCCGGAATCTCTACGTCACACAGATGTGTCTTCCTGTAAGTGGCTACTACTGACCCTAGAGTAAGAGTGAAAAGGAATATTTAATGCTGGTGTTCCAGAAGTCTAGCTTAATGCTCTCCTCCCAAGGAGGAGGGAGTTTACAGGCTAGGAACAGAAGTACAAACACCCCTAAATCCTTAGGCCAAGGAAATAAAGTTGAGTAGCAAAACAATTCTGGAGTGTCTAAGTTTAGGTAGAAGAGCCTGAAAGAGGCAGGCTAAGGGTTAAGAAGTCTCACCCTTGCTGTTCAGAAGCACATGACAATTGTAGATTTTCTGAGTCTGCTCCCAGTCTTGGCCACGCTCATGGAAACCACCCAAGGACAGCCAGAGTCCACATTCCCTGGGGGGAGGGGACACTGACAACTCTTCTCAAGCCTCTACCCCCATATCTGGCAATTCAGGGACACTGCCCAACAAAGATCATACCTCTCCCTCCCCTCCCCTCTCCGTGATACCTGGCGAGCTGGGTATAGTCTCCCAAAAGTTTCCCACCCAGTGGCTCAGATAGGCGCAGTGTCTCCGCAGGATCTCGTGCAATGAAGTCAAATGCCTCAGGCAGGAAAGCCAGGCAAGCACCCAGTCTGGCAGCCTCTCGAACCAGCTCAGCACATGTTTTAAAGTTCTGTTGCTTGTCTGGTGTTGATGTTACCTGGCACACAGCCACCAGGGGCAGTTCCCAGGAGGAAGAGGAGACAGCCATGGCTCTGGGCCTGTGAATGGCACAGGCAGGATTCTCAGATTTCCTAGCATGGGGAAACCCAAGTTCAATAATAACAGGCACAAATGGGGAAACAGGAAGGCTGGACGTCTTTTGATTCTGCCCTTACAGGGTGCACTGACCCAAATGTTCTATTGATGGTGGAAACCCGTGTCTCCCACTATCAATTTAACAATTTATTGAGCATCTACTTTGTGCTAGGCACTGAGCCACAACAAGAGATGTTACCTGGGCTGAGCACAATGTACTGAGAGTCGAGGTATCCGAAGTCCGGGACACAGAAGGGACAGGAGTTGGTGAGGAGGCCTGGTGATGAAGCCCAGCCTGAGGAAGTGAGAAATCAGGATATCAATTCCTTCCTCAAACAAGAAATTTCTAGGATTCTCTGACTTCTCCCTTCATACAGTAAGCCTGAATCAGGGCCTTGCCAGTAAAAACCTCCTGTCTTCAAAACACTCCAAGTAATTATGGACTACGGGAAGAGAGCATGAAGTGGGAATATGAAGGAAGGAGCTCTGCTCGGAGCCTGAATACCTCAACTTCCGATGATTTCACATTAAACAGAAGCCCTTTTCCTCTGCCAAACGTTTTCGCAGTTCAAAAGTCACCTCTGGGAGGCTTCCTCGGTTTTCCCAAGACTCTTCTTTACTGTGCACTTGCACAGCTTTACTGGCTGAAAGCATATTTCCCCCCTTACACCAGGTTCTCTGAAGGGGACATTCACCCTCCCTGTCTCTCATCACTCCGAGGTGGGCAGGGGACACAGAAACACAGACCCCCACTAGCGTCCCCACCCTCCAGTTAGCCCGTCCTTCCCCGCCTCTCCAAGGGTGACATCTCTTGCACAAGATAAAGCACCGCAGGTGGAATTCACCGCGGCCGGTGGGACGGGGAGTAGGTCCTACATGAAGATACGGCCAAAACCATTCGCAGAGTCCCGTCCGAAAAGCGGCCAGCAGCCAGGGACGCCGGGGCGAGTGGGCGGTAACTCCCAGACCGGAGGTGACGCAGGAGGGCGGGGCTGCGCCGGCCGGAAGCCCAGCAGGCAGCGAAGATGGCGGAGAACAGCGGTCGCGCCGGCAAGAGCGGCGGGAGCGGCGCGGGGAAGGGGGCGGTGACGGCAGAGCAGGTGAGGAGCAGAGAGCGTCAGGAGGGCGCCCGGCCGGGTCTGGAGTAATTGCGAGAAGGGAGAGCCTGTGGCTTGTGCAGCCTTTCCTCCGGGGCCACATTTGCGTGGCCACTCAGAGGGGAGGGTCGCTGGAGAAGCTAGCCGAGCCCCCACGGAGAGAGTAGACGGGTGGGCAGGCGGAAGCCACGCCTCCCTGAGGTGTTGGGTGAGCCTAGGATGGGGGAAGGCCCTGAGGAGAGACTGGTTGTCGCTTTCTTGTGTCTCATCGGCACCCCTAAACAAGATGTGGCTGGACAAGGCAGCTCAAAACTAATCCTAGAGGATTAATGAAAGGGCTGGCAGTGTGGTCTGTTACGTGACCCTGAACCCACGTTGACAGTCGCCGCTACGCTGCAGAGCCACGTGACTTACATATTCGAAGAGTCTAGTGTTATACTATTTTGGTTCGGGGCTTCATTACTGGATTAAATTTCTTGAGAGACCAGAAACCCTTTTCTAATCGAGTTTGCATTTCCCTCATTGCTTAGCATCGGGAAGCCTCTGATAAATTAATCAGAAAGCCCTTTGTGGCTTGGGAACCGTGTTTTGCTAATAGGTGTGAGAAGAAATATACACAATTAAAATGAAAACAGTTAAACAACGGCTACTTTAATTATAGGTTCATTTATCAGTCATTGTTGAACAACATAGGCAGAGGTGTCTGCATAAAGATTTTAGAAACTGTTCTTGCCATCGAAGAGCATATTCTGGCCAGGCGCGGTGGTTCACGCCTATTACCCCAGCATTTGGGAGGCAGAGGCAAGGGGATTGCTTGTGAGTCCACGGGTTCAAGATCAACCTGGGCAACATGGTGAGACCTCATCTCTACAATAAATAAAACAATTAGCTGGGTGTAGTGGTGTGCCCCTGTAGTTCCAGATACTTGGAAGACTGAAGCAGAAGAATCACCTGGGCAGTGGTGATCGTGAGCTTGCCACTGCACTCCAGCCTGGGTGAGACTCCTACCCAAAAAAAAAAAAAAAAAAAAAAC